TTTTATCAATTTGGAAGCATTTGAGCACTTGGTAGCAAAGAAAATTCTCAAAAAATGGCCATATTAAGAACCACCCTTATTTGTAGATATATATATTTATATAGTATAATAATAATAATAATTCACCATAAATTCACATGTGAAATTCTGAGTATAATCATATTCTATAGTAGGAATAACAGTTGCACAAACTTTAAAAATATAATAAGATACATGTGCACTCCCAATTCACCTCCACCTTCTTCGACGTTTGTATGATTTTTTTCATAACGACAGCATGCCTTCAATAAAATTATAAAGATGACATCTCAAGTGATTTTAGGTGTTTTAGTTTATTATTATTATTATTTACCTGCAAGGAGGCACTGATGCCATCGGTGGTCCTGATAAATTCGGATGGCTCTCCATGGTAACAGTTTTTTTGGCATGATCTTGACTAACGTCCTCATACATTTGTTCTACATTAAAGGCTTACGATTCTAAAAAGAAAGAAAGAATGTTATTAGGCCTATTATTTATTTATTTATTTATTTTGAATATATAGCCCACAGATTCCTTCCAAGAGGACTCAAAAATACAATTATTTTACATAATGAATAACAATTAAAATATATACAAAAGTACAATATATAGTTATTAACATAAAATGCTTAACATAAAATTACTTATAATGCAGAATGTAACAATATTATTTATAAACAGAATAAGATAAAATAATGAGATATTTGAAAAGAAAATAAAAAGGTTAACTTGTGCAGATGGAGATTATTTGATTAGGTGAAGTATTGTGGATATCTATTTCGTTATTAATTAAGTTAAAGTTAGAGGACATAAGTAAAATAGACGAATTTAAGAAAGAATTAGATTTAGGTGTAGGATAATTGAAAAATAATTGTGAACGCGTAGATAACCTAGGAACATCAAAGAATAGTTGATTAAGAATAAGAGGACAGTCTATAGAATTATTGCAAAGTTCAAATAAAAACATAATTGTACAGATAAATCGACGTGAGTCAAGGGAAGGAATGCCAAATTCTTTTGGTAAAGTGTTGTGGTCAAAACCACGTTCAGGGTAAATTTTATATGTTTTATAATAAAGATATTTCAGAAATTTTCGCTGAACCTTCTCTATCGCATCAGAGTTGTTGATTTGATGAGGATACCAAATAATCGAACCATATTCTAATTTTGAACGTACATTAGAATATTTAAATTGTTTATAATTTCTCAGTATCAAACCTAAAGATTTATGTCTTTATCAGTTATATGATCAGTGATAAACAAACCAAAATCAAATAGAACTCCTAAATCTGAAATTTTATTACATCTATCAATGCTGGTGTTAGAAATTTTATAATCAAAATGTATTAGAACGCGCTTATGTGAAAAACTGAGAATCTTGCACTTTGATATATTTAAATGTAATTTGTTACAGACACACCAAGAGTGGAAAGAGTCAAGTTGAGACTGTAATAATAAGCAGTCATCAATAGAATTTATTTTGAGATATAGTTTGAGATCATCTGCAAATAATAAATGTGGACACCTAATAATTTCAGATGTCATTAATAAAAATAATAAATAGTAGTGGACCAAGAATGGATCCCTGAGGAACACCTGAACTGATATTTTCGAAATTGCTCAAGAATCCATTAAGATAGACAAACTGTTTACGATTATGAAGATAACTCTTAAAAAAACTAGCTGTAAGTAGAATTCTGTCTTGAGGCAATTAAGGCATCGTGCCTTAAGGCAAATTGCTGGAACTTCCCGTACCGTAACGAAATGTTCAAGGAATACTGAATGTTTTCAAATAGATTATTATAAATATTGTAACATTGTCTAATATTTAGATTTATATAAACTGAATTGCAAAGTTCAAATTATTTGTTTAGAGTATATTAGCAATTTAGTCAGAATTAAAAATAAAATCTGAATTATTTTCGATATACACAAAACTAAAAAAAAAAAATTACAATTTTTTTCCCAAATCAATTATTTTGTTAAAACAAGGGCCGAAAATCGAAATTGAAAATTTTTGCATTTCTCGAAGTTTTGAAGGTTTCTGAACATTTTTAAGGCATATTTCAGAAACCAAATGGATGTGTGTGTGTGTTTTGTGTGTCCGCATTTTTTCGTCCACGTTTTCGGGCGCACGGATCAACCGATTTGAATGGTTCAAAAAACATTCGATTTCTATTGATAGGGAGATATGCTGATGCGTTTTTGGCAAAGGCAGGTCCAGCCGTTACGGAGATATGGAGCAAAGAGTGCAGAAAATAGAAATCGAGTTTTTGGAGAACGGATCATCCGATTTGTATGATTCAAAAAACATTCAGTTCGTAATGACGGGGAAAAGTGGTTATTAGTTTTTCGCAAAGGTAGGCCCGGCGGTTTTGGAGATACAGAGCTAAATGTAAAAAGTAGCAGAACTAAGCGTCCAATTCAAGTGATTCAGAGAACTTTCAGCTTGTTTTCAACAAAATAATTGCTTTTGGAGAAAAAAAAATTTTTTTCTAATTTTTTTTCAAAAAATATTTTTGTAATTTTGGATCAAAAATTCGAAAAATTGCCCAGGCTAAGCACAGTCTACGCGCCCAAGTGCTCTGGTACAAATGTTAACCCAAGTGCGTTTTGGGAAAAACTATTGAAAAATGTACAAAAGCCGCCAAGCTAAGCACAGTATAAGTGAAAATGTCGCACAGAATTGTTTGCAAATGCGTTTAGACTGTGTCTATACGGGAAGCACTTTTCAATTCTGTTCAAATTAGGCAACTTTTTTTTTATTAAATTGTTTTTTTCTTAAATTGAATTCAAAATGAAATGACGATTGTTAATGTTTCGGAGAAGAATTTATTTATGATTTACATTCGATTACAAGATAGCAAAAACAATGAAAGTTACAGTATTTGTAATAATATATTTGAAAACGTTGAAAATTTCTCGAATATTTCATTACGGTACGGGAAGTTCCAGCTATTTGCCTTAAGGCACGATGCCATACACCACTAGTTATAATATAATATTATCTAGCATATTTTTATTATGACCCTTTAACTATCTCTTTTGAACGTAAAAATCGAGAGAGAGAAGCGCCTATATGAATAGTATATGATCTTTTAATATTGTTTTATCTTACCTCATCATAGCCGACGACCCACAATCGTGGTGTCTGATAATATTTATCGTATGTGATGTGCAGGTCGTAAGTCCTGGTTTTTACAATAGTACTGCCTTCTTCATAATCGCCACTTTCTAAATTTTTCTTCTCTTTTTCTGGCAGTGCTGGTTTATTTTCAATTAAAGCTTCGGCCTAAAAGAAAATACACAGTGATAAAAATAATTAGATGTAATAATTCAAAATATACATTAATGGAGTGACAGTATTGATTGTAACTATCATGAAACTAGTGGAGTGTGTGGCATCGGTAAGGCAAATTGCTGGAACTTCTCGTACCGTAATAAAATATTCGTGGAATATGAAATGTTTTCAAATAGATTTTTATAAAAACTGTAACTTTCACTATTCGTATTTTATAGACATAATATAAGAGCTAATGAACAGGAACGACGACGATTTAAAAAAGAGTGCGCGTAAGGATCACACGCGGTTGAAGTAAAACTTATTTGCTACTGTATAAAGTAGCAAATTTAAGTTGAGTAAAAATAAATGCATCATATAAAAATTTTGAATAATGTTTATTAGTAATATGGTAACACTCGTGATGCACACATTTATTAGTGTCGTCAATCATTATACACATTTATATAATGATAATATGATAAATCATATATTTATGATTGCATTAAAAATATGTATAACATTTACAAACAATAATGTAATCAAAGTCGTACTTGAAATATGACATGATCGTTTTAAAGTAATTGCTGATTAATAAATTCTATAATATTCATTCACACAGTGGATTATATTAAACAACGCCTAAACAAATATTGTTTTTGCAAATTAACTCATCCTGTAACAATTGTGTTTGAAGAACTTCATGTAATTAAAATTAACATACATTCATTTACTGTTTGTGTTTTTTTACTTTTTCGGTGGCAATATAACCTCATTCCTTGAACAACTGTAATACCCGTCCTGCCTAACAAAATGAAGCCATACTTTTATATTTCTTTTATTTATCAAGCCCTGCACATAGCTTGATCTATGAATCATTTTCTTTTTTATGTGAACGTTAATGCAATGATCATCATCAATATTACGGTGTAATAAATTAACCATATTATTAATGTCAACAGGCACATTTATAATTTGGCCAAACATTCCAAATTGTCGATTTGCATGTCGCAATCGTCTAATTTGCATGAAACACAACCTAGGTGAAATTAACCTTTCAGATACAGTATCTAGTTTAGGTAGATAATTTGGTATAGGTGGAAATACAAACCCGTTATATTAACACAAAGTGGGAATTTTACCCGAATTTAATATCTTTCGACAAGTTTGACATCCAACCTGACTATTTGAATCATTATTAAAAAAAACATTATTAAGAATTTGTTTTTGAGCATCATTTGATATTTATAAGCCACACACAAAACATACATAGCAGCGCAGATTTTTTCTTAGTTTCATTATTTATTTGCGATCATTTGCACTACAATTATTTATGGGGGACGGGATAAAATATTCTTCCAATCCTGACATTTTTATTAACTCACGAAATATACTGCTAACCCATGTCGCGCCTAAAGAAGTTTTACTTCAAAAAATGTTTAGAGAATACTAGCTAAATACAAAACTCAAGTGAAAGTCGACACATTTTTTTTTTGTTTTTGACATATGATTTGATGTATTTTTTGTTTTGCTCGCAGACTAGATCGAATAATTGCGATAGCTGCGCTTACTAGCGTCGTAAGCGCGAATCATGCAAGCGACTACTTTACACCCATGTCGCGTCTAAAGAAGTTTTACTTCAAAAATGTCAAATATTGGCGATACGCACATACTTTTTTTCAAATTCAGTCTCATTCTATCCAGAATGACTTGAAACGTTGAGAAAGCATAAACTTCTCCTTCTACTACTATTATCTCAATTATAACTCACCGGATCGACATTGTCCAGCATGCCACTTTCTTCAAACTCTTCCATATCAATTGCATCACTTTCGTCATCCTCATTATGACCATCATCACTACCTTCTTTGTCATCTTTCATCATTTCCTTATCCATATCTCCAACCTCGCTGGATTCTTCATCTAACTAAAAAATAATAAAATAATAATATAAGTTGAATGTTATTAACTTCCCGTAGGGTAAGTTATAGTAATCGCAAAAAAATCGAAAAATAAAATTTTTATAAACTATCAATTATATTTTCAAATAAAAAACACTAAAAAAAATTGTGAAACAACATATGGATTTTTTTTTCTAATTATTATTTTCATATGACTGTTAATGTTAAAATACTTAATAATTAGTTAACTAAAAACTTATATTTTAAAAACACTTAAAAAATTGTGAAATAAAATATTTCCTTCATCAAAATACCTAAATATTTGTAAAAGAAAAAAACTTGTATTGTAAAAATACTTGAAAATAATAATAACTAGTGGGGTGTATGGCATCGTGCCTTAAGGCAAATTGCTGGAACTTCCCGTACCGTAACGAAATGTTGGAGGAATACTGAATGTTTTCAAATAGATTATTATAAATATTGTAACATTGTCTAATATTTATAAGAATTATATAAACTGAATTGCAAAGTTGAAATTATTTGTTTAAAGTACATTAGAACTATAGTCAGAATTAAAAATAAAATCTGAATTATTTTCGATATACAAAATTAAAAAAAAAAAAAAAAAAATTGGAACAAAATTTTTTTTTTCCAAAATCAATTATTTTGTTAAGCAAGCAGAAAGTTCTTTAAATCATTTAAATCGGACGCTTAGTTCTCTCAAAAACTGCCATTTTTTACATATTTAGCTCCATATCTTCGAAATGGCTGGGCCTGCCTTTGCCAAAAACTAATAAACACTTCTCCCAATCATTACTAATTGAATGTTTTTTAGATCATTCAAATCAGATACTCCGTTCTCTCAAAAAGTCGATTTCTATTTTCTGCACTCTTTGCTCCGTATCCCCGAAACGGCTGGACCTGCCTTTGTGAAAAACTAATCAGCTCTTTTCCCTATCGATAGGAATCGAATGTTTTTTGAACCATTCAAATCGGTTGATCCGTGCGCCCGAAAACGTGACTGGAAATTTGTATCCATACATACATACACACACACACACATCCATTTTTTCTGAGGTATGCCAAAATATTCAGAAACCTTCAAAACGTCGAGAAATGTAGAAATTTTCAATTCCGATTTTCGGCCCATTACAATAACTTACCCTATGGAAAGTTAAAAATGATAATGATAATAATAATAATAATAATAATAATATAAGACACTTAAATTTGTTAAAACATCATAGAATAACCTAAAATTTGTTAAATAAAATAATTATATTGTAAAAGCATTGTAAAGCTTATTAAAATACTTATTAAATTTTTAAAAAATACTTGCAACAAACAAACTAGTTATATTTAAAAATAATTAAAATTGACTAAATATAAATAAGTTTATAGTAAATAAATTAAATAATAAATAAATGTGTAATGAAATAGCTAATAATTAATTAAGGCTTCAGTCAATATTTTATAGGTTTAATATAATTATATTAAACCTATAAAATATTGACTTAAGTCTTATTATAATATTATTATACGACGGCTTGTAAAATAAATAAATAAATAAATAAATAAATAAATTAACTCAATAAATATTCAAGCTTACCCTAGAACTATCGAGTGTCATATCATTAACTTTATCCTCAAGCGTGGAGTCACAATGATGTGTATCGACCCATCCACCTTCAGAATCATCTTCCTCTAGCAACTTTTCTTCACCGCTGTACTCCATCTAAAACCAAAATTGTTAAAAAAAAAAATAGTGTGTGATATATTAAAATAACTGATTTCTGTCCTTACTTGTTTGCATCGTCTATAACAAGGAACATTTCTAGTTATCAAAAACTGTTTATCTTTGGGAAGATAATTCTTCGACTTATTGTCATCTCCAGATGCCCATTGCCAAGTGGGACAGTGGTGGACTAGATGTTCACCGGCTGCCACAAATTCTTCAGGTGTCAAGACTCCTGTTTCTCTAAACTTAGATTCCTAAAAATAACAATATGTATTTAAATCTTCAAAAAAATTGTAATTTTTATCTAACCTTTAAAATAGGTGTCAAATATTCGGCGACTCCCAAAGCGGTTCCTTTAACAGAATTAATGACGTTCTGCATGGCGCCTTTTTGGAAATATCTTGATTTATAATTAATCAACACTTGTTCATTGGGTTATATTCAGAACATTATTAATAACAAGAATTATTGGAAATATTCTTTTGTTTCGTATTGACAAATGACAGTTTGAAGTTTGACAGATGATAAAAGATAAATTGTTAAAAGTGTGGTGTGAACATCGTGCGGAATTGAAACTAGGAAATGGCGCGAATATTTGAAAACATAGAAATAGATAAATAAATACATAAATAAAAAAATCCGTATTATAAATATATATACATTATATATATATATATATATATACTAGATGACCCGACAAACGTTGTCTTGTACCAACGTCTACAATTTTTTAATATCCCTAACTAATATTTACCGTTTATCTAAAAATAAGAATTGTTTTTTAAATTACTCTTTACGCTAAAATTCATATACCTTTATAATATGAGCGATGTCAAATGTAGAATTGCTTTAAATAAAATTATGAGTCTCAATTCCCATAACTATATTGGAAATTGAAGTCTTTTAAACGGTATAACAAATTCAGAAAAAATTAATACATAGTATCCGCGGTAAAAAGTACAATATCACCTTGGATTTTTTCACCCAAAATAATTGCTCCAATAATGTTACCTATAATTTGTATAATCTTGTACCATATTTCAACTGGTTTTTAGTAATTATAATACCTGAATTGCATTTTTCTTAGTAATTATTAAATATACATTATTACCAGAGACACCCCTGGAGTCCACCTGGAGTTAACAGTTTATTATTAAAATTTGGCTTTTGAAACATTTCACTTATTTATTTTAGGCATCTTATGAGATTTATTTTATTGAGCAAATCATAGAGAGCAAAAAAAATTCTAGCACTTCATTAATAAACGTAACACTTTTAATTCATGTTGGATTATTTTAATTTAATTTTTATTATTCAAGATATCCTAAATTGCTTCTTAAACTTCTCCTAATTGATATCTTAAAGGCCGAATTATATGTATTTATTTTTACTTTCCCATTTGTTCCCAGTTGTTTTTGTCATTTTTTCCATTTATTTCTACGATCTAACTAGAACTCTAGAAATCAAAAAATCCTAACCACTTTTCCCCGTCATTACAAACGGAATGTTCTTTGGATAATACAAATTGGATGATCCGTTCTCTCAAAAACTCGATTTGTATTTTGTGCACTCTTTGCTCCGTATCTCCGTAACGGCCGGACCTGCTTTGCCAAAACTAATCAGCACATCTCCCTATCAATAGGGATTGAATGTTTTTTGAACCATTCAAATCTATTGGAAATTTGTATCCATACATACATACACACTCACACACACACACACACACATCCATTAGTTTATGCCCCTTAAAAATGTTCAAAAACCTTCAAAACGTCGAGAAATGCAAAAATTTTCATTTTCGATTTTCGGCCCATTACTACAACTACCCTACGGGAAGTTAAAAAATCAAAAACTGTCCGAAAGATTTTGGTAGGGTTTGAGTTTAATATAGACAAGTAAATATTACTAATGTACCACATTTTATTACTTCATTTAATTAATATTATATATTAAATTATATATATATATATATATATAATATATATATATATATATATTAATTAATATTATTATTAATAACATCATCAATCTTTTTTTATTATCATCCATTTTTTTATTATCATCTATTATTTATTTATGTTCTGGTCCCGGCCATTCCTCTCTGCAGTTGCCCAAGGGTCTGGTTTTTGGCCAGGAGGGCAATTTGTAGGCACGTCTATTATTATCCCTGAACCCTTCTTCTCAGATTTTGCATAATTAGATGTTTCTATTTGTGGCGGTCCATTCAAATAAATCACGATCTGAATCGGTTGATTCGACAATTGAGCAGATTCTGGCCCTTCGAGGGCCGGTCTTGCGCACACGAAATTAATCAGAATAAAAAAAAGTAGGGCGTGGATGGGTTTCATCCCTGGAAAGGATAAAACTTATAAAAGAAATTTATATTTACACTACTTGGACTGCTAGTCCAAACATAAAAGGGACTGTGTAACGTCACATGTCTGAGCGTAAACATTGCCGACGACAGTCGCGGACTCTCCCGATTGAGTAAATCTTACGCTCGACTAGCAGTCCATGTAATATAAGTCTATGATTTATATTTATATTACCACTTACTTGTTTCGTGATTTTCAACACCAAAAAAAATTAAACTTGGCAACAAATTGGGCAAAGTTGGGTATTTATAAGATGCTGATATCGATCAACAATAGTCATAAATTTACATTATATATTTATAATAATATAATTGGTTTGGTTTTGATTTTACGACTCCAATTTTATGATAAATTAAGGGGCACAACTAGTGTGAAATTTTCAAAAACGCGAATTTTCAATTTTTCATATTTCTATAGGTTATACCTTTAAAAATAACATACCATCAAAATTTTAAATCGATGTCTTAAATAGTTTTTGAGTCACAGCCATTTAAAGAGTATATATATTGCATGGTAGTATAACGATCATTTAATCTTTAAACGAGTTTTTCTCGAAACAGCGTTTTCCGAATTTGCTGCAGCGATTACTCAAAAACAAATTATCCGATCACCATCGAATTTTTATTGCTTGTTCTATATATAGTTCTCCGTAAAATGACCTATCTATTTTTTGATCGGATCAAAAATCGAATTTTGGCAGTCCAAAAACGACCAAAATTTTGGGTAAAATTCGACTTTTTTTTAGAAACGCCGTCATTTTGTCAATTTTTGATTTTTTATCTTTATCGTAGTTCATTTTACAGACAATATTATCTAGTTTAACAAGAATTTTTTTTTTTAAATTCCATCCATGTAGGAGGCTGGAATCACTGCAGCAGTGAAGGGCCTTTTTTGTCGCGCCGATAACTTAAAAAATATTTAATTTTTTTCTTCGAAACTTTTACTATGTATTCCTAAAACATGTATGAATATATTCCTAAAATTTTGAAATGATTGATAAAGTAGTTTTTTTAATATAAATTTCCAAAAATCACATTTTTTTAGGCGGTTACACTAGTTGTGCCCCTTAAATGCATAAAATTCCAGGACATTTTCCTCATATATTTTCAAATAATCAATGTAAAGGAAATATCTTGTGGTGCAAAATTTGTAACTTATACCCTAAAATAATATGTTAAATGAATAATTATAATTTAAGTATTAATGAATAATTATTTTAGTTGCTCCCTGTTAATTGGATTAATAAGATGGAATTTTTATGAAGCCATAAAAATTATTGAATAGTTTATGCCGAGATTATAAATTGACCATTGAATTTTTTTATGGGTTCCAATTATTTGCATAAATATCATTTATTCAATAAATGAATCCAATTTATTTTTTAGACAAAGGATATAATTTGCTTTTGTCATAAATTGAATTGTGTGTATCGTGCCTTAAGGCAAATTGCTAGAACTTCCCGTACCGTAATAAAATATTCGAAGAATATTAAATGTTTTTAAATAGATTATTATAAGAATTGTATAAACTGAATTGCAAAGTTAAAATTATTTATTTAAGTCTATAAGTAATATAATAGTCCAGTCATTATAGTAAGTTCGCCTCGGCATTCGAGTCTGTAAATACTTGTATATTGACATTTAAAAGTTGTCTCAAAACCTACATATGGTATTGACTCCCTACTATATGTAGGTTTTGAGACAACTTTAGGGTGTCTCGAATTCCGAGATTCTTACGTAATTTAAGCTTAAATGAATGAAAATGACTATAAAACTTCAGCCAGAATAGAAATTAAAATCCGAATTATTCTCGATATACTAAAAATAATTCGAAACTAGTGGTGTATGGCTTCGTGCCTTAAGGCAAATTGTTGGAACTTCCCGTACCGTAATGAAATATTCGAGAAATTTTAAACGTTCTCGAATACATTATTACAAATACTTTAATTTCCATTATTTTTGCTATCTTGTTTGTTTTATCTGAGCAAATCAAATGTAAATCATAAATAAATTTATCTCCAGAACATTAACAATCGTCATTCCATTTCAAATTCAATTTCAAAAAAAAAATAGTTGCCTAATTTACATAAAATTAAAAAAAGTGCTATATAGTCACAGTCTAAACGCATTTGCAAATAATTTTGTGCAACATTTTCACTTATACTGTGCTTAGCTTGGCGTCATTTTCACATTTTTCAATAGTTTTCACAAAATTGGAAAAGTGCTGCTTTATATAAACAGTCTAAACGCACTTGAGTAAACATTTGTACCAGAGTGACGCTTAGACTGTGCTTAGCCTGGGTAATTTTTTGAGCTTTTAATCCAAAATTACAAAAATATTTTTTGAAAAAAAAATTAGAAACAAAATTTTTATTTGCATAAGCAATTATTTTGTTGAAACAAGCAGAAAGTTTTTTAGATCATTAAGAATTAAGAATTAAAAAATAAAAAGTTGAAAATTGTAAAATCTGGCAGCTGATGAAGTGGGTGGAAATCTTGACATGATTTCAGCCCTCCTAGTCATCGGAAATAAAAGAAATAAAAATATTATGAATCTACAATGTCGCAATCGCCCGAACTAGCGATGAGTAAAAAAAATGTTTTTTTACAAATTGGCGACTGTTTGAAAAAAAAGTGTTTTTTTTTTACTGTTTTTTGAGTTCCTCGAATTTTTTAAAAGTAGTAAAAATTGGAATTTGGGGATAATTCTAGTTCGGGCTATAGATAGGTCTATAAACAAGACTCTCTGAACATTTCAAGTGAATCGGTCGAGTAGAACTCGAGAAATCGTGACAAGAGTACTGAAAAAGTCTGTTCTGAAAAAAACGCATTTAAAGTTTTGCGTGACGCCAAATCAGTATGGAGACCGAGTCAGTAAAATGACTATATCTCCGAAAATAATTAAAAATTTCAAAAACCTTCACGTACCCATATTCTTAGATAGTTAAACTTTGAAACTATGAAATAAAAAAAAAAATCGATTTTTGTGAATTTATACACTAGAATACCCCCTTAAAGACTGAAGCCTACAAAGTTTTACACTGTTCTGCTAATTGCAAAGAAACGGCTCGGCTGATCCTCGACAAACGCAAGTCCCTATCGAGATACATCGAATGGATTTAAAATTTTTGAAATCGGTCCAACCGTTTTTGAGAAAACGTCGATGAAAGGTCAAAAATCGGTCCACACATACTTTTTCCCATTCGATTCAGAATGGCTTGAAACATCGAGAAAACATAAAATTTGCGAATCGGATTTTTTAGCGAAGACATAAACCTTTCATTCGGGTTCTTAATTATAATCACAAGTCCATCTCTTCTGTTGGGGGTCAAGTGTTAAAACTATTTGGCGATAACATTTAAATATCTATTACATAAACCAATTAAATAATATTATACGTCAAATACTTTTAAACAAACAATTTTTTATAAAAATCTGGAGTGTTTTTCTCAAAAATTATCAATCTAGTCATAAGAGTACAAATAAACTAACAAGAAGTTCAAATTACTAAGAGGAGTAATTTGTTTTGGATATTTTATGTTAATAATTATTAATATTAGTTTTAATAGTGTAATATATTTTATTATTAAACTATGTCTTCGAGCAAAGTAGTTTTGGCTTATTCCGGCGGTTTGGATACAAGTTGTATCCTAAAATGGCTTTTGGATCAGGTGAGATAATTAAATTATATATTATATATAAAATTCTTCTGTACGGGTGTAAAATTTGATACTTCTCCTAAACGGTTATTCGGATTTTGATAATTCTTTTTAGAGTTTGTCAAGGAAAATTTTTAAGATTTAATGACCGATAAAACTAGAGTGATATTGTAGAAATAAATGGCAAAAATTACAAAAAACACTTATCATTGACATTGACATGTCAATGCAATGCCGAAAATAGAAATTGAAAATTTTTACATTTCTCGACGTTTTTAAGGTTTCTGAACATTTTGGCATACCTCAGAAAAAATGGATGTGTGTGTGTATAGATACAAATTTCCAGTCACGTTTTTGGGCGCACGGATCAACCGATTTGAATGGTTCAAAAAACATTCGATGCCTATTGACAGGGAAATGTGCTGATTAGTTTTTGGCAAAGGCAGGACCAGCAGTTACGGAGATAAAGAGCAAATAGTGCAGAAAGTACAAATCGAGTTTTTGAGAGAACGGAGTATCGGACTTGAATGATCTAAAAAATATTCAATTTGTAATGATTGGGAGAAGAGGTGATTCGTTTTTGGCAAAGACAGGTCCCAACATTTCGAAGACACAGGGCTAAATGTGCAAAAAATGGCAGTTTTTGAGAGAACTAAGCGTCCGATTTGAATGATATAAAAAACTTTCTGCTTGTTTTGACAAAACAATTGCTTTTGAGGATAAAAAAATATTACATCTTTTTTTATTCTCTATAAAATATTTTTGTCATTTTAGATTAAAAATTCAAAAAAATATCCAGGCTAAGCACGGTCTAAGCGCCACCCTGGTACAAATGTTTACCCAAGTGCGTTTAGACTTTTCCAATTTTGTGAAAACTATTAAAAAATGTGAAAATGTCGCCAAGCTGAGCACAGTATAAGTGAAAATGTCGCACAAAATTATTTGCAAATGCGTTTAGACTGTGACTATACAGCACTTTTTTTAATTTTGTGTAAATTATTAATTAGGCAACTATTTTTTTGAAAATGAATTCGGAATGGAAAATGACTATTGTTAATAATGTTCTGGAGATAAATTGATTTATGATTTATGATTTACATTTGATTTGCTCAGATATAACAAGATAGTAAAAATAATGAAAGTTACAGAATTTGTAATAATATATTAGAAACCGTTTAAAATTTCTCGAATATTTCATTACGGTACGGGAAGTTCCAGCAATTAGCCTTTAGGCACGATGCCATACACCACTAGTTAAATTATTGTTTATTAATTTTTTCAAGGGCTACGATGTTTATTGCTATATGGCTGATGTTGGCCAAGACGAAGACTTCGAAGCTGCCAAAATCAAGGCCAGAAATATTGGAGCAAAAGAAGTAAGTTGAATAAATAAATTACCGTAAAAAAATAAAAACAAATTATGAAAAAGATCATAATTATTTATATCTTTTATTATTTTTGTTCAGGTAGTCGTCGACGATTTAAAAAAAGACTTCATCGAGAATTACGTATGGCCAGCTGTGAAAATGGGATTGATTTACGAAGGAAGATATTTATTAGGTGAATATAACAAACAAACTAGTCGGTATTTTGCCTTGAGGCAAGTTACATGAACTTCCCGATATGTGTAAATAATCGACTTAATTAATAAAATATAAATTAACTTATGAGCGATTAAAAGTATTCCGAGTTGATTCATTACACATCATTGAAAACGAACGAACACGTTAACTCGGAGTATTTTCTAAAAGCAAATTTTCACTTCAATAATTTTTATAATTGAACCAGTTTCCGTAGGACTTTATTGGTTTAGTATGTTCATTAAAACCAAGTACTCTATCGTTATACCAAGTAAGTCGTCTAATTTTAATTTAAAAAAACGTCAGAAAAAACCACTCATTTTCTCAAACTTTGATGAATTTTTAAAATTAACTACTTGTCGTAAGGCCGTAATAATTCAGTAAGTTTTATAAGACCATGATATATATTACCAAAAAAAGTTTCATAACAAAACAAGTGTAAAGTTGTGGTTTTAAAGGAACTTTCTGATGAGCAAACTGAAACAAGAGTTCAAGAAACTCTAACACTGTGCAATTTCGTGACATTTTTTTACATTTACTCGAATAACTCCAGGACACCTCTTTTGAATTAGCTTAGCAGAAACTAGATAAGATTTACTACATATTTTCATGCAAAAATTAATATAGTCTAGAATGAAAATTTTGTATAAATCGTCTTTGAACTCGCCCTTATATATTGCCCCATGTTTTCCATATATGAGTTCGGGATTTTTTTCACATTTTGTTAAATATCTCGAAAACTTGTCTCAGGACACTTTTTGTTAATTAGCCTGACAGAACCTAAATAAAATTCAATAATATTCTATATAAATTATCTTACATATTTTCATACAAAATTTTTCATGAATCTCATGTGAACTCGCCCTTATATATTGTCTTATGTTTGTTATATAGGATTTGGGACATGGTTTTAACATTTTGTTAAAAAACATAAAAACTTTGTTTCGCACACGCTTATTTTGCTCAAAATTCATATAAACTGTCTTATACACTTTTATACAAAATTTTGTATAAATCCAATGTAAACTCGATCTTATCTATTGTCCCAAGTTTACCATACAATAATTCGGACATTTTTTCACATTTTTAAAAGTGACTAAAAAATTTTGTTCAAGACACTTTTCTTTCATTTATTGTAGCTGAAACTAGATAAAATATACTAAAATTCTGTATAAACAGTCTTATACACTTTCATACAAAATTTTGTATAAATCTAATGTAAACTTACTCTTATATAATGTCCCAAGTTTGCCACACAAGCATTCTAGGCATTTTTATACATTTTGTTGAATAACTCGAAAACTTTGTATCGAGCACTCTTTTTCAGTTAGCTTAGCAGAAACTAGATATAATTTACTAAAATTCTATATAAACTGTTTTTTACACTTTGATACAAAAATTTTGTATAAATCCGATGTAAACCCGACCTTATATATTGTCCTAACTTTGTCATTCAAGAATTCGTGATATTTTTTTGCATTTTCTTGAATGACTCGAAAATTTTATTCAGAATAAGCTTTTTTCGTTAGCTTAGCAGAAACTAGATGAAATTTAACACATTTCCCTATAAACAGTTTTTGATGTTTTAAAATCGATTCGGTAGATGAGCATAAATGTGGATGGAAGGTTTAACACTTTTTTTCAAATTACAAAGAAACGGCTCGGCCGATCGTCGCACAAAACTGACAAACGATAGTCCTCATTGAGATACATCGAATGGCTTCTAAATTTCTGAAATAGGTCCAGCCGTTTTTGAAAAAACGTCGATTTACCGTCGCAAAAAATTTGTTCACACACACACACACACACACATCTTTTCCCTTAAATTTGGTCTCATTCGATTCAGAATGGCTTGAAACGTCGAGAAAACAAATTTAGCGAATCGGATTTTTTGATGAAAACATAAACTTCTCCTTCGGGAAGTTAAATAAATAACACTTAGTATTTTTATTCCACGATTAAATATTATTCCAGGTACTTCTTTGGCACGTCCTTGCATTAGTGTAGGACTGATGAAAGCCGCCAAAAAAATTGGCGCGACTTATATCTCTCATGGTGCAACCGGAAAAGGAAACGACCAAGTTAGATTCGAATTGAGTTGCTACGCCCTTTGCCCTTCAATACAGGTAAATATAATAGAAACTTCATCAACGATATAAATCTCTCATATTATGACTAATCTTCTTATATATAAAAATGGAGCTCTCCATCAAATGATTCGGTAAAACTCGAAAACGGCTAAACCGATTTGGCCAGTCTTTGTCTTGAAAAACTCGTTCCAATCAGTAGGTTATCGGAAAGGTGAGATATTATTTCAAAATTGCGTAGAAACTTTACATTTTTAATTTAAACATTTTTGTATAAGCGTAATTTGAATAAAACAATGGACGGTGGCTAATACGTCAAATGTCAAACGTTTTTCACAGATGATGTTGAATTACGTTTAATAGGATGTTTTACGCAAATACTATTTAATTATGATAAATTTGTAGTAAGTAGTTTTGTTTGTAGTTTTATTTATATAGAAAAACGTTAGTAAACGGGCCGCTAAGTGTTACTAGAGACTCAAAATATCAACTTTTTTGAAATGATGCACTTTTTGGCATATTTATCTCAAACACGGTGCTCTGAGAGATCTCATTTGTATAATTATATATTTATTGGTATTTATAAAACATTATTTATAAAATATTGTTTTCATTTATGTTATTTCAATTCAGAACCTAAATTTGGTATCGATCAAAGGGACATTTTGTTGAACAACCTTTACCCACTTATAATTTTCCATAATTTATCGAAGAATTGATAGTAATATATGAAGGTTCGGGGTTAAAAAGTTAAGCATTGTTCAAAAGCAATATTTGAATGTAAAGGGAAAAAGATGTGTAACCAGCTATAACCTTGATTCTTATTACTTTGATATCGGGAGATAAACGGTAGTCTTTAAACATTCATAATAAAAGTATTTTTTCCGTTGTTAGTTTTTTGGCATTAGCTAAAAATGTAATAACATTTTGTAATACAATTTTGTAAAACACCTAAAAAATTAAAATAAGACATTTAAACTATTTGCATATGGGCGTTTAATATAGCCGTTGCAAGTTACATTGTTGTCATTTCTACAATGATGAAGTAGTTGGCAGTTTTACTGAACGTAGTCAGATAACTGTTCGTTTGAAATGTGTTATTTGTTGTGATATAATTGGTTTGATTTTCATTTTTCAGGTTCTGAATTTAAATAACATAAATAAAAAATAATATAACCTACAAAATGTTTTATAAATACCAATGAGTATATAATTATACAATTGAGATCTTTCAGAGCACCGTGTTTGAGAAAAATATGCCAAAAAGTGCATTTTCATATTAACATTTCAAAAAAGTTGATATTTTGAGTTTCTAGTAACACTTGCCGTCTGTTTCCTAACTTTTTGTATATAAATAAAACTACAAACAAAACTACTTACTACAAATTCATCATAATTAAATAACTAGCGTAAAACATCCTATTAAACGTAATTAAACATCATCTGTCAAAAACGTTTGACATTTGACGTATTAGCCACCGCCCATTGTTTTATTTAAATAACGCTTCTACAAAAATTTTCAAATTAAAAATGTAAAGTTTCTACGCGACTTTGCAATAATATCTCACCTTTCCGACAACCTACTGATTGGCACGAATTTTTTAAGATTAAGACTGGCCAAATCGGTTTAGCCGTTTTCGAGTTTTACCGAATCATTTGATAGAAAGCTCCATTTTTATATATAAGATAAATCTATTATTACTACTATTTATAGGTTATAGCGCCCTGGAGAGATCCCGAATTTACGACCAGGTTCCAAGGACGAAACGATCTTCTGGAGTACGCCAAAAAGAACAAGATTCCAGTTTCGGCAAGTCCGAAAGCACCTTGGTCGATGGACGCCAATATGATGCATGTCAGGTATTGGAATGTAATGTTACTAGGTGTTTGTGGCATTTTGCCTTGAAAGAATTGAGTTAACAGAAATTGAGATTTATAAGATTTATTTTATCCAGTTACGAGTCCGGAATTCTAGAAGATCCCGCCCTATCAGCTCCTGCAGATTTGTATTCGATGACAAAGAATCCAGAGAGCACACCAAACACACCAGCGAGAATTGAAGTAAAAATTGATAATAAAATATTATATATATATATATATATATATATATATAATACTCGTAAGTCGGGTTTTCCTTCCTGACGAAATAACTCCAGAACGCACGAACCGATTTCGACAAATTTGCATTCGTTGGAAAGGTCTCGGGCTCCTCAAGGTTTATAGCTAAGAAAATTAATGGTGCATGGCATCGTGCCCTAATGCAAATTGCTAGAACTACACGCACAGTAATTAAAAATTCGAGTAATGACATTAGTGAGAATTATCAGAATTATGCTTGGTTAAGGGGCACAACTAGTGTAACCGCCTAAAAAGGTGTTTTTGGGAATTTATATTAAAAAAACTACTTTATCAATCATTTCAAAATTTTAGGAATATAATCATACATGTTTTAAGAATACATAGCAAAATTTTTGAAGAAAAAAATATTTTTTAAGTTATCGTCGATCTCCAACGGCGCGACAAAAACAAGGCCCTTCACTGCTGCAGTGATTCCGACCTTATACGTGGATGAAATTAAAAAAAAATTCTCGTTAAACTAGAGAATATTGTCTGTAAAATGAACTACGATGAAGAAAAAAAATCAAAAATTGACAAAATGACGGCGTTTTTTTTTTAAAAAAAGTCGAATTTTACCCAAAATTTCGGTCGTTTTTGGACTGCCAAAATTCCATTTTTGATCCGATCAAAAAATCGTTAGTTCATTTTACGGAGAACTATATACAGAACATGTAAAAAAAATTGATGGTGATCGGATCATTTGTTTTTAAGTAATCGCTGCAGCAAATTCGGAAAATTCTGTTTCGAGAAAAACGCGTTTAAAGATTAAATGATCGTTATACTATATATATACTATATATATACTCTTTAAATGGCTGTGACTCAAAAACTATTTAAGATGTCGATTTAAAATTTTGGTATGTTATTTTTAAAGGTATAACCTATCGAAATATGGAAAAATTGAAATTTTGATTTTTTGAAAATTTCACACTAGTTGTGCCCCTTAAGTCAACGAGCAATTCTTGCAAGAATAATGATGTACACGCACTGAAATTTCACCATTCAATCAAAAATTGCTGGCGATTTGGTGACATACCAATGATTCCGACTGGTCTTCCGTTTGACTTCAAACGATTGCAATTTTCAGTTTGCCTTGCGTTCGCAATAACAAGTCTCAAGGCCAATCGCTTAGTGTTTGCGGGATAATTTTCAATTAGATTATTCAGAAGATCATTGTTTTTCACATGGGCAGTTATACGTTGCCTGTTTACGAGTTGGAAAACCATCCGCTTTGTTCGTGTTCGTCAGACCAAAAAACAAAAAATGTGGTTTACCAAAGAGCAATTCAATGAAACGGATAATTTGCGGATTCACTTTTGTTTTCTTAGAGAAGTTCAACTAAAAAACACTTCATTTTTGTAATCGATATAAATTCATTACTGGTGTATAATAAAATCAAATCTTTCCTTTTCATATATAAAACAAACAAAAAATTTCTTCATCTTTCTCACGAAACCATCCGGTGGCGAAACGGAGTTCGCTAGTATATATATATACTAGCGGGTTTGCTAGTATATATATATATATATATATATATATATATGTATGTATAAAATACTTTTCGGATTTTTTATCTGCAGGTTCGTTTCCGGCACGGTCTACCAGTTGGTGTACGCGATTTGACAACAAAGCAAACTGCTTCGGCGAAGGAAATTGCTGAACCGGTTCAAATTTTCCAGTTTTTGAACAAACTGGCAGGCGAACACGGAGTGGGAAGGATCGATATTGTGGAAAATAGATTCATCGGACTTAAGGTAAAAAGACAGATGTAACATGTCTACTTGCCTTAAAATAAATTTAATCAATTTTTCTTCCCATTATTACGAGTAAAATGTTAGTTGAATCATTCTAATCGGGTGCTCCCTTTTCTCAAAAACTGAATTTTCATTTATGCATCTTTTTTTCCAATTTCCTAAACCACTGATCCTGTCTTTTAAAAAACTAATCAAAAACTGATGAGCAAATAAGATATTTTTAAGAAAAGGAACTATACGGACGAGTAAACTAAAATTGGTCAAGAAATTTTGTAGAACAAGGACTCTACTGACGAACAAAGTGAAATTTTACAAGACATTTTGAAGAAAAAGAACTCTACTGACGAGCAAATAAGGTTTTTGAAAAAAGGGACTCCACTGACGAGCAAACTGAAATTTTACAAGAAATTTTGAAGAAAAAGGACTCTACTGACGAGCAAATAAGGTATTTTGAAAAAAAAACTCTACTGACGAGCAAAGTGAAATTTTACAAGACATT